TTCCATGGGAATTTGGGGGGTTTTTTTTTTGGGGAATTTTGGGGAATTTTGGGGTGCTGGGCTCACCTCGCTGGAGGCTCGGCCACGGTAGGACATTTTCTTGATGGCCACCAACTCCTGGGAGCGCAGGTCCCGGGCCTGGGGGAGGTTTTGGGGAAGGATTTTGGGGAATTTTGGGGGAGTTTTGGGAATTTTGGGGGGATTTGAGGGAATTTTGGGAGGATTTGAGGGAATATTTGGGGATTTGAGGGAATTTTGGGGGGTCTGAGGGAATTTTTGGGAATTTTGGGGGACTCGAGGGAATTTTGGGGGAGTTTTTGGGAGATTTGAGGGAGTTTTTGGGGGGGTTTGAGGGAATTTTGGGGGGAGGGGGGGTGTTTAAGGGAATTTTTAGGGATTTTTTTTGGGAGAGTTCTGGGGGATCTGAGAGAATTTTAGGGAATTTTTGGGGATTTGAGGGAATTTTTGGGGATTTGAGGGAATTTTGGAAATTTTGGGGGAATTTGAGGGAATTTGGGGGGGATTTGAGGGAATTTTGGGGGATTTTTGAGGAATTTTGGGGGGATCTGAGGGAATTTTGGGAATTTTGGGGGGATTTGAGGGAATTTTTGGGGATTTGAGGGAATTTTAGGGGGATCTGAGGAAATTTTTGGGAATTTTGGGGGATTTGAGGGAATTTTGGGGGATTTGAGGGAGTTCTGGAGAATTTTTTGAGAGTTCTGAGGGATTTGAGAGAATTGTGGAAGATCTGAGGGAGTTTTTGGGGATTTGAGGGATTTTTGAGGGAATTTTGGGGGATTTGAGGGAATTTTTGGGAATTTTGGGGGACTTGATGGAGTTTTTGAGGATTTGAAAGGATTACCTGGGAATTTTGAGAGTTTCAAGGGAATTCAAGAGAATTTTTGGGAAGTCTGAGGGAATTTTTGGGGGGGATTTGAGAGAAGTTTTGGAAATTTTAGGAGTCCTGGAGAATTTGGGGGAATTTTGTGGGAATCTGAGAGAATTTTTAAGGAAATTTTGGGAATTTGAGGGAATTTTTGGAGGATTTGGGGGAATTTCGGGGATTTGGGTGATCCCAGGTGGATTTTGGGGTGGTTTTGGACGAATTTTGGGGCTTTCAGGGCATTTTCCCCTGGTTCTCATCAGATTTGAGGCAAATTTTGAAGCATTTCATGACATTTTAGATCAATTTGTGGACGTTTAAACTCAATTCTCGCGCATTTCAGACAGATTTTTAAACGTTTTGAGCTTTCCCGAGCGGATTTTCAGCTTTTTTGAGGCGTTTTATTGCGTTTCGGATGAAATTTTTAAGCGGATTTAGAGTTTTTTGTCACTCACGCTGAACACGGCCCCAAAACTTCCGTGCCCGATCTCCCGCAGCTCCCCAAAAACTTTTTCGGGATCATCTTTGAGGAATAATTCGGCAACTTCGGGGTCCCGGAGGCTCCCGGGCCGGGCTGGGGGTCGAGGAGCCGGCATGGCAAAGATGAAACTGACGGGAAAAAAAAAACAAACAACGAAAAAACCCCAAAATCGCCCAAAATCCCCCCAAAACTCAACCCCCGAATTCATTTCTTTCCCTCAAATCCATCACGATTCCCTCAGGATTTCCCTCCCAAAAATTTCCCCTCAGCACAAGAAACTCCCCCCCTCCAGACCCCGAACCCCAAAAGTGACCCCCAAATCCCCAAAACTTCACGAGAGACCCCAAAAATCCCTCAAATTTCCCCCCAAATTCCCTTTTTTCCCCTCAGGCCGCCCCCCCCTCCCCTCACCGGCGGCTCCAGCTCCGGTCCCGGCGGGCGCTGGGGGAGCCCGGGCCGCCCCCCCCCGGCGGCTGCAGCTCCGGGGGGGGGCTCCGGTCTCCCCCCGGCGCCTCCTGGAGTGGGGAGAGGCTCGAGAAGCCCCAAAATCGCCGAGTTTCACCTCAAAAAAGCGGCCGGGGGGGGAGGGGGGGGGGAACCCCCCCGGTGCCGCCTCAGCGCCCGGGGCAAGATGGCGCCGGCGTGAGGGGAGGAAAGGGGCGGGGCCGCGCGTGCGCGGTGGCGGCGGTGAAGGCGGGAAGGGCGCCAGGAGTTGGGCGGGGCTCAGGCAGCCAATCAGCGAGAGAGGCGGGAAAATAGAGGCGCGTGACTGGTGGAGACGCAAGAGGGCGGGGCTGTGAGGGGAGGAAAGGGGCCGTGATTGGACGGGGGAAGAAAAAGGCGGGAAGCCGTGAGGGAGAAGCAAAGATGGCGGCGCAGCTCTCGCGTGATTGGCTGAGAGCGGGATTTTTCCCGGCAAGCGCTTCCGGGTTAAGCCACGCCCCCATTTCCTTTTATGGGCGCGATGGTGTCTATATAAGGAAATGTGGGCGGAGCCATGAGCGCGCCCATGCCCAAATAAGGAAGGGGCGCGACCAGGAGGGGAAGGCGGAGCCTTTAAAGGCCCAAAAGCGAAGGAGAAAACCCCAAAATTGGGCAAAAATCGCCCAAAATGCAGCGGAACGGGCACAAAACGGGAAAAAGCGGCCCCGAAATGAGCGGAAATGGCCTCAGAATCATTTTTCTGGGAGTTTTTTGGGGGATTTTGGGATTTTTTTGGGAATTTCGGCCGCACCCGGAATTTCCTCTGAATTTTTTTTTTTTTTTTAAATTTTATTTTATTTTTTTTTTTTTCGTTTTTTTTTAAATTCGCTTCCGACCCCCGAAACCGCCCCCAAAAAACCAAGGAAAAAAAAAAAATTCCCGGAAATTCCCGGCCAACGCCCCCGAAAGTTCCAGAAGGTCCCGAAAAGAAAATTCCAGAAGGTCCCGAAGAAGTTTCCCCCGAATTCCGGACGTTTCCGTGACGTCACGATTCTCTTCTGTGACGTCATCGTGGCCCGGCCCCAGCTCGTGACGTCATTTCCCTGCCGCATGACGTCACTTCCCTCCTCCGTGACGTCATCGCCTTCCGTGACGTCATCGTCCCCGTTTTCGGTGACGTCACTTCCCTTCTCCACGACGCCGTCGTCCTCTCGGCGACGCCGCTTTCCCGCTCCGTGACGTCACTTCCCGCCCTCCGTGACGTCACTTCCCTCTTCCGTGACGTCACTTCCCTGTTCTGTGACGTCATTTTCCGTTTCCATGGCACCGCCTCCTTACTCTGTGACATCACTTCCTTACTTCATGACGTCGTTTCCCTTCTCCATGACGTCATTTCCTTTCTCCATGACGTCATTTCCCCTTTCAGCGATGCCATTTCCCCTTTCCGTGGTGTCGTTTCCACTTTCCATGACGTCATTTCCCTCCTCCGTGACGTCACTCCCCCTTTCCATGACGTCATTTCCCTTTTCTCTGACGTCACTTCCCCTTCCCATGACATCATTTCCTTCTTCCATGACGTCGCTCCTTTCCATGACATCATTTTCCTCCTCCATGACGCCATTTTCTTCCTCTATGACGTCATTTCCCCTTTCCATGACGTCATTTCCCCTTCCCATGACGTCATTTCCCTCCTCCATGACATCATTTCCCCTTCCCACCACGTCACTTCCCCTTCCCATGACGTCATTTCCATTTCCTCTGACGTCACTTCCCCCTTCCACCACGTCACTCCCCTCCGCCACGACGTCATTTCCTTCCTCCATGACGTCACTCCCCCTTCCCATGACGTCATTTCCCCTTCCCATGACGTCATTTCCCTCCTCCATGACATCATTTCCCCTTCCCACCACGTCACTTCCCCTTCCCATGACGTCATTTCCATTTCCTCTGACGTCACTTCCCCCTTCCACCACGTCACTCCCCTCCTGCACGACGTCATTTCCTTCCTCCATGACGTCACTCCCCCTTCCCATGACGTCATTTCCTTCCTCCATGACGTCATTTCCCCTTCCCATGACATCATTTCCCCTTCCCATGACGTCACTCCCCTCCTCCACGACGTCATCCTCCCCCTCCCCCTCCTCGCTGTCCCACTCCCCCTCCCCCACC